AATGCAAGAGATGCATATTTGATGGATTGCTGGTTAGGGAACTAAGAGCCCCCAGGCTGTAGGGCAGCTAAGCCTGCAGGCAGCAACTATTGAGGCATCAAGCCACAGCGAAGACCCAGCACAGCCAAAAAAAAAAAAAGGGGGAACTGGAAAATTATTTGTTCATATGGACAAAAATGAAATTGGCTTTCCTATTTCACACTGTGTGCAAAAAATTCAACTCTACACAAAGTAAGAAATTAAGTCACAGAAGTAAAAGAAGTATTTCAGAAGAATATATAGATGAAAAAAAGGAAACAAAATTATTACTATGGACAAAACTGAAACTGGATTTCCTATTTCACACCGCACACAAAAAATTCAACTCTACACAAAGTAAGAAATTAAATAACAAAAGAAGTATGTGAGAAGAATATATAGATGAAAAAAAGTTTTTCTAACTCTGGAGATTTCTTAAGCAAGTCACAGAAAAGGTTAATAATAAATTTTGTTGCATCAAACATAAGAATTTCTTCACAAGAGAAATGAGAATTATAATTAATAATAACATCTAACTCATAGTTTGAATGTGAGTATCAGAAGAGATTATGTCTGTGAAAGTGACCTATGAATCACCAGGCAAATGGTTGTTTTTATTCTATCCCAACAAGGTGCCTTCTTTTCTGTTTAGATGGATTTGATGTTAGGAACATCCATTCACTCAAATTATTTCAAGTTTTGAAGCTTTTGTAATTAGAATTCCATGATAGGCGTCATCAATGGACAGGTTCTTAACATTCATCTTGGTTCCTAATAGTTGTACACAACCTGCTCCTGGGAAGCTTGCAAAGGGCCTGAAGGGTTGTTGGTGAAGGGTTGATGGCTCAGACAGTAAAGAATCTGTCTGCAATGAGGGAGACCCGGGTTTGATCCCTGGGTGGGAAAGAACCCCTGGAGAAGGGAATGGCAACCCATTCCAGTATTCTTGTCTGGAGAATCCCATGGACAGAGGAGCCTGGTGGGCTACAGTCCATGGGTTCGCAAAGAGTTGGACACAACTGGTACAACTACACTTTGGTACTTGCCATGGTGCTAAGAGCTGAAATACACTGAAGTGAAGCACAGGTCTTTGAATAGACTCTAGAACTCCTAAATAGTTACATCAGCAAGATTCTGCTGGCACAATTGCTATCTCAGTGGGGAGGAAGGATTCTTGGTGCTTCCTACTCTGCCCTCTTCCCAGAATTCTCTCTCTGATCAAATCAGTTTCCTAGGGGGAAGATCTCATATGAACCAGAGTGGTTAGCAAAACACACAAGAATCTCTGCTCTCTGGAGCTTTTACATTCTAGCTGGGGAGTCAGACAGTAGCTAAACTAAATAAATATATAATTTAATTTAATGATAAATGTTAATGAAGAAACATCTGAGTATCTGTAGCAGATGCTACAATTGCTCCATTCACATCCCATCAGCGCTTATCATTCTCATGCAAGCTGCCCAGGTTTCTAGCTGCCAGCATCTGTCTGCCTACAGGCTCTCTGTGGCTCCTGGAGCCTTCTTTGTCTTGGGGCAGGGCAGGTTGGATGCACTAGAGAAGTAAGGCTTTCCCAGAGAGCAGTCCTCCACTAATAGCTGATGTGGGTTGTGGATAAGAATATCCACATTTAAAAAAAAAAATTTTTTTTGGCTACATTCCAGGGCATGTGGGATCTTAGTTCCCCAGCCAGGCAGGGAGCCTGAACCCCCTGCATTGAGAGTAAAGAGTCTTAACCTCTGGGCCGCCAGAGAAGTCCTGCAATCGCCCCCTTCTCTCAAGTGGAGAACTCTGAGGCATGTTCTACTCTGGATTTCAGATTTCCTCAGTATATTAAACTCTGATTGTTCACAGAGGGTACTTGTTTCGTCTCACTACTTTTATGAGTTCTTTCCCATCCCCATTTCTTCACCAATGTTTCCTAGATAACCTCTCCGGTAAATTACTTGCACTCGAATCCTTGTCTCAGGGTCTGTTTACAGCAGAACCCAAGCTAAGATTTTGACAAGAGTAGGACTAGGGGATGGGTGGGAGGGAATGGATAAAAGCCTATGTCACTAGATGCCCACCTGTGATCACCTGGTCAGGTGCACGTCTAGATGGGTCATTAAGAAAGGCTCTGGGGGTTGGACAATCTTTCTGTGATTTTTCCATTGGCCTTTAAAGTGTTGCCTTGGCCACTGTTCTGAGAAAGGAGGGTCTGTGATGGCCAAGCAACTTTCTGTGGTAGTCAGAGTATGAAAGTCTTTCACCAAAAATAAACCCAGCTTATTTATTAAACTATGTCCCCACACCCTTGCTGGTATCTTCTCATCCTGAGCTGATGGCCATATTTGTTTTTCCTCAGCTCCTTTTCCTGCTAAAAAGTACAGACGTGGTGTCATTTAAGTTATTTATTGGTGTTTTTCTTTCTGATTTTAAACATCATTCTTTTTTTGGTATGAAAGTTTTAAGTACAAAAATACATAGAGAAGAAAATGAAAATCACCTTGTGGCAGATTAAAGGTTGATCACAATTTCTTTAACACATTGAGAGATGAGATCTGTGCTCCCTCTCTTGGAGGTTGAGGTCTGTGACTGCCTGACCAATAGAATATGGTGGAAGTGACTCTGTGAGAGTTTCCAGATTAACGCCTTAAGAGACTGGAAACTTTCCATTTTTATCTCTTGGAATGTTTACCCTTGAAGTCTAACCACTCTGCTGTGAGTAGCCTGAGCCACACAGAGAAGCCACATGGAGGTCCTAGAGCTGACAGCCCCAAACAAGCTCCATGCCTATAGCCAGCACCAACTTCCAGCCATGGGAATGATCTATTTTGAAAGTCCAGCCCAGCTGAGCATTCAAGGACTCCAGCCCCAGTCACAATCTGACTGCAGCTATCTGAGTTTCCCTAGTGGGAAATGCTGGGGCTAGATAATCCACAGCACCATGATACAATGAGCGGATGCTGTTTCATACTTGTGGTTGCCAGTGGGGAGTGGGTGGAGGGAAGGAAATGGACTGGGAGCTTTGGGATTAGCAGATGCAAGCTATTCTATGTATGTAAAACTGAGTCACTTTGCTGTCCACCAGAAGCAAATACAACAATGTAAATCAACTATATTTCAATTAAACAAATTTTAAAAAGAGAAGTTGCCATTTTAAGTTGCTAAAATTTGGAGTAGTTTGCTGTGTGGCAATAGAGAAGAACAGACTCATTGTCCTGTGATCAGGCAACAAATGTTGTTAATGTTTGGTTTTCCTACACACACATATCTAAAAAATTTTTTAAATAATTTAATTAATTAATTTTTGGCTGTGCTGGGTCTTTGTTGCTGTGTATGGGCTTTCTCTGGGCTTCCCTGGTAGCTCAGTTAGTAAAGAATCCGCCTTCTATGTGGGACACCTGGGTTTGATCCCTGGGTTTGGAAGATCCCCTGGAGAAGGAAAAGGCTCCCCACTCCAGTATTCTGGCCTGAAGAATTCCATGGACTGTATAGTCCATGGGGTCATAAAAAGTTGGACAGGGCTGAGCGACTTTCACTTCAGGGGCTTTCTCTAGATGCAGCGCACAGGCTTCTCATTGCAGCGGCTTCTTTTGTTGCAGAGCACAGGCTCCAGGGCATGCAGGCTTCAGTAGTTGCAACTCCTAGATTCTAGAGCCCAGGCTTAGTAGTCATGATGCACGGGCTTAGCTTCTCCGTGTCATGTGGGATCTTCCTGCGTCAGGGATCGAATCTGTGTCACTTGCCTGGGAAGATGGGTTCTTTGCCACTGAGCTACCGAGGAAGCTCCCACACTCGTATCTTTAAATAGGTAATTTGAAAACAAAATGTTCAGAATTTTAATGGAATTTTTTTCAGAGAGTAGGCTTCCGTGGTGGCTCAGATGGTAAAGAGTCTGCCTGCAAGGCAGGAGACCCGGGTTCAATTCCTGGGTCAGGAAGACCTCCTGGAGAAGGGAATGGCCTATGGAGTAGGGAATGGAGAAGGGAATGAGTATTCCAGTATTTTTGTCTGGAGAATTCCATGGACAGAGGAGCCTGGTGGGCTACAGTCCATGGGGTTGCAAAGAGTTGGACACAGCTGAGTGACTAACACACATTTCTTTGCTCAGGTTATTAAGGCAGAGCTAGGGCAAGAGAGAATATATTTGAGAGAGATTGAAAAATGATTGGCTTGGGGGCCACATTAGCGGACAGACACAAGGTATGGTTTGGGGTTCTATGTATTTCATGAAAATTATGCTCCTGTGTCCCTGAAAACAGTTTGTGCAGACATCTTTGACTGTACTTCTAAGCTATTTCTTAGGATAAACTTAAAAAAAATAAAACAAATTTATTTATTTGGCTGTGCTGGGTCTTACTTGCAGCACATGTTTCCTTAGTTGAGGCATGTGTGATTTAGTCCCCTGACCAAGGATCAAACCTGGGCCCTCTGCATCATTGGATGTGCAGAGTCTTAGCCACTGGACCAACATGAAAGTCCCAAGATAAATTCTTGGAAGTGAAAATTCCTGGGCAAAAGCGTTTGAGACTTTTTTTTTTTAAAGCAAAATAATATTCAAAAATCACCAGATGCCCTGTACCTGAGTTGTCCTTATTGATGGCCACACCAGAAGACAGCTCCTTGGGCGGGAGGGAGGGACATTTTGCAAACTGTGCTTCAGGGAGACACGTCCTGGGAGGCAGGTCCTCAGTCTATTCTTTGTTTTTCATAATGTTTTGGCCAACTCTAGAAGCAGGTGGGCAAACAGAGGTAACTTTGGGATATTGACCTTGATGGTTTGGGCCAGGGAGCTGGGTAGGGAGGCAGCCCAACCTGTGTGTACACAGCCTGTAGAGGAAGGTCAGGCAGGACTGTGTGCTCACTGAGCCTCCGCCCTCTTCCTTTGAGTCTGACAACTTCTGCCTCCTACTTCTCTTTTTCTGTCCTTCTGGCTTTGGTGGCTTCCTTGAAGTGGCTCAGTGGTGCCTGCAGCCTTACGGTTCCTGCTGCCTCCAGCTATGAATCACAGGATCCTTCTACTAACAGGTATGCCTGGAGCTGGGGGTTCTTGGGGAAGGAGGAGGGGAGTTTTTGAGTTTGTGAGTGGAGAGAAAGGGTCCAGAATACTTAGGAGTGAGACTGGGGAGAGCCAAAGGGGATTGGAGGAAGGTGAAGGGATTCACGAAGTAGAGCTAGACTGAAATGGGATGATCATGGAAGCTTGGATAAATGACTCGGTTCATAAAGTATGCCCTGGATTTGGTTGGTCCTGTCTTCACGGATGAGGAAACTGAGGTGTAGAGAGGTGAAAAGACATATTAAAGGGTGCACAGTAGATCTTGGCTTCTCTTCTCAGAGTGATTTTTTTCTTGGATTCCACCTGTTTGTCTCCTTTTTTCCAAGGACCCAGGTGTAAATGTTTGTCAAATGACTGACTGACTGAAATGATTCAAGTTCGTTTCCTTTTTTGTCTGTGTTTTGTGGCGTTTGAGTCAAAGAGGGGGAAGAAATGCTTGTGAGTTGCACAGCGAGGAACTTACCTAATGGAATCTTTAGGAACTTACTGTTGGGCAAATCAGTGGAGTGGGAACCTAGGGTGGGGCTCAGAGAGGGGCTGAATGTACCTGTTGATGGGAATAATCAATAAACAAGAAAAGATGTTTTTTGTTCATTTGTTTTTTGAGTCAAACTGAGGACTATAGCCCAGGAGACAGCCTCCTGAGAACTTGGAGGAACTGCTCCAGAGAAGCAGGGTTTTGGGCATAGTTTTATATTTTGTCAGAAGAAAGCATATCAAACAAGTCAGGGAGGCATTCTTTCGAGGTTTCAAGAGACATGAAAGCCAAACAGATCATCAGGTACAGAGAAAGTTGGTATGGCCTTGGCACCTGGGAAGAAAGTCTTATCATCAAAGCAGGAACAGCACTGGTGCCCCCAGGAAAGGAAGCATTTCATCTTTGTTTTTTTTAATTTTAAAATTTTTATTTAGTTTTGGTTGCGCTGGGTCTTCACTGCTGCATGCAGACTTTCTCTAGCTGTGGCAAGCAGGGGCTACTCTCTAGTTGTGGTGAGAGAGCATCTCATTGTGGTGGTATCTCTTGAGGCAGAGCACGGGCTCTAGGGCTTCTGTGGTTGCAGCGCATGGGCTTAGTTGCCCTGCAGCATGTGGGATCTTTCCAGACCAGGGATCAAATCTGTGTCTCCTGGATCAAACCTCCTACTGGAAGATCTCCTGGAGGAGGACATGGCAACCTACTCCAGTATCCTTATGAGAATCTCATGGACAGAGGAGCCTGGCGGGCTACAGTCCATGGGATCACAAAGAGTCGGACACCACTGAAGTGACTTAGCATGCACAGAAGCCAGAATGACTTCCCATAGCTCAATATATCAAACTTTCTTCCGTTATACCCGATATTGGTGTTCCAAGGCCAGGAGTCAGCAAACTATAGTCTGGGGGCATAGTGTGAGGACTTCACCATGTGTTTTTGTACACGGGTCCCAGATGAATATTTGGAGCCATGAAGATCCAGAAGAATATTTATAATTGATCCATGACAAGGAATACTAACTTTAAATCCCCATGAAGCAAAGTGTTAGTTCTCTTGCAAAATTCCATCTGTCTCATCAGCAAAATTGTATTAAAAGAACTTTTACTCAATTATTATATTTTTAATTTCCTTCATGAAAAATGCATTTTTTCTTTTCTTGAAAGTGAAAGTGTAGTTGCTCAGTTGTGTCCAATTCTTTGTGACCCCATGGACTGTAGCCCGCCAGGCTCCTCTGTCCAATGAGTTCTCCAAGCAAGAATACTGGAGTGGGTTGCCATTCCCTTCTCCAGGGGATCTTCCTGACCCAGGGATCGAACCTGGGTCTCCCACATTGTGGACAAATTCTTTACTGTCTGAACCACCAGGGAAGCCCCTTCTTTTCTTATATAAATACATACATAGATAGATTCCATTTGCTTCTTGGTCCACAAAACCTAAAATATTTACTATTGAACCGTTTATAGACGGCTTCCCAAGTGGTGCTAGTGGTAAAGAACTTGCTTGCCAATACAAGAGATGTGAGAGACATGGATTCGGTCCATGCTTCAGGAAGATCCCTTGAATAAGGGTATGGCAACCCATTCCAATATTCTTGCCTGGAGAATCCCATGGACAGAGGAGCCTGGTGGGCTATAGTCCATGGGGTTGCAAAGAATTGGACACGACTGAAGGGACTTAGCACGTACCCCTTTATAGAAAGAGTGTGGTGACCTCTGCTCCAGGTTGGGACCTGGCGGGAACCCATCTCCATGTAGGGTTAGGGTGAATCCTGACAGGAATATGCTTGGGGCAAGAGAGCAGGCTGCTTTCTTTCTTTTTTAAATCTTTCTTATTTTTTAATTTAATTTAATTTTTTGGCCAAGCTCTGTGGCATGTGGGATCTTAGTTCTTCAACTGGGGATGGAACCTGTGCCCCTTGCATTGGAAGCTCAGAGTCTTAACCACTGGACCACTAGGGAAGTCCCAGGCTGCTTTCTTAACTGTTTGCATATCACTTCCTGACTTCCACCCCCTTGTTTTCCCTCCAGCCTTGGCCTTATGTCATGGGTTCAACCTGGACACGGAAAAAGCAGTCATCTTCCAAAACAACGCAAGGGGCTTCGGGCAGAGTGTGGTCCAGATTCAGGGATCCCGGTAAGGGGTGCAGGGGCACTCCCTGCCCACACTCTTTCCTTTCAAGATTTAACATACCTAGCTAGGACATGGAAGCAACCTAGATGTCCATCGACTGATGAATGGATAAAGAAGATGTGGTAAATGTATACAATGGAATATTACCTAGAGCCTATTATACAGAGTGAAGTAAGTGAGAGGAACAAATATCTTATATGAACACATACATATATGGAATCTAGAAAGACAATTACTGATGAAACTATTTGCAGGGCAGCAAAGGAGAGGCAGACATAAAGAGCAGACTTGTGGACACAGCGAGGGAAGCATAGAGTGGGACAATTTAAGAGAGTAACGCTGAAACATGTGCATTACCATATGTAAAATAGATAGCGGGAATTCAATTTATGACTCAGGGAACTCAACCCGGGGCTCTGTGACAACCCAGAGTGATGGGATATGCTGGGAGGCGGCAGGGAGGTTTAAGAGGGAGGGGACATATGTATACCCATGGCTGCTTCATGTTGATGTATGGCAGAAACCAACAAAATAATATAAAGCAATTACCCTCCAATTAAAAAAAAAGACAACATACCTGAAAAAATTAGAACTTTCCTTGATTTCCTTTTTTTCTTAATTTATCAGAGTAATAAATTCAAAATATACGACAGAGTGTGATAGAAAACCTCTTCCTCCCTCTCATCCCCCAATTGCCTCCCCAGCAGGGTCCCTGGTAAATGGTTTCTCGTGTGTTCTTTCAGAGGTGTTCTATACTGCATAGACCACATTTTTTCTAACACTCATCCTGCACACAATTTGTAGCACATGTTGTACTCGAACCACAGCCTGCTGCCTATTTTTGTAAATACATTTTATTGACAATCAGCCACCCCACTCCCTACTAGCCATTTATTATTGTTACTATTATTGTGATTATTGCTTTCTAATACTTGAATTTTTTATTGGAGTATAGCTGATTTACAATGTTGTGCTGGTTTCAGATGTACAGCAAAGTGGTCTGGTTATACATGTACATATATTCATTATTTTTGAGATTCTTTCCCCATACAGGTTATTACAGAAAATTGAGTAGAGTTCATTGTACTATATACCATAGGTCCTTGTTTTGGTTATCTAATTTATATACAGCAGTGTATGTATGTTAATAGTAAATTCCTAATTTATCTCTCCCACTTACATTTCCCCTTCGGTAACCATACGTTTGTTTTTGAAATCAGTGAGTCTGTATCTGTTTTGTAAGTTCATTTTTATACCTTTTTCTTTTTTTTTTTACTGGATTCAACATATGAGTGATATTGTATTTTTTTTTCTGACTTACTTCACTTAGTAAGACAATCTCTAGTCATTTATTATTTATGGCAGCTCTGGAGCACAGTAGCAGAACAGGGAGGCTAGGACACAGACTCTATAGCCTGCAAAGCCTAAAATATTTACTTTTACAAAAATAATACTTATGGAAATAACGCCTTTTTTCAAGAAAAAGTTTGCCAACTTCTGCTCTAAACTCTCTTCTGCAATTTTTTAAAAATTAGCAGAGCTTGCTGATTTCACTGAATAAGTATACAAAGAGCTTCCTTGTTCTTTTCTATGCTGACATCATATTCTATTTTTATTATTATCTATTATTTGGAAATACTGTAATTTACTTTTTTGTTACATTTAAATCTCTTCTGAGCAGACATTGGATTGTTTCCCAACTTTTGCTTTGTAAACAATGCTGACATTTTGTACATGAGCAAGTGTATTTTGGAAGTAAATTCTTAAAACTAGGATCGCTGGATCCAAGGGTATATGTGCGTATGTAATTTTAATAGGTTTTTCCAGATTACCTTCTATGATGATGGCAACACTTTGCACTCGCACCAGAAATTTGTGCAAACATTTACTTCCCCACCAATTAGCCAACCCGTGTTAGCAAACTTAACGATCTTTGTAAATCAAATAGGGAAGATATGGTATCTCAATTTAGTTTTAAATTGCATTTCTCTGGTTCATGTCAATGTATGGCAGAAACCACTACAATATTGTAGAGTAATTAGCCTTCAACTAATAAAAATAAATGGAAAAAAAATTGCATTTCTTCTTTTAAGAGAGATTTATTTCCTTTTCTGTGAACACTTTTTTTCCTCCTTATCTGTGGCCCATCTTTCTCGCTCTCTTTTTTTTGCCTTCTTGATTTGTGGGAAATCTGACTACTGAGGAAATAGTCTGGGTGTTCATCTCCCTCCCCCAGTTTATCATTTATTTTTTGACTTTGTTTTTGGTGTAGATCACATACAGAAATTTATTTTAAATGACTGTTGGGGGGACTTCCCTGGCAGTCCAGTGGTTAGGACTCTGTGCTTCTGTGGCAGGGGGCACGGGTTTGACCCTTGGTTGGCGACTAGGATCTCAAATGCCTTGTGGCATGATCAAAAAAAATAAAACTAAAAAACTTGTGGGGTTGACTGTATTCATTTAAAAATGACTTCTGGATATATTATGTCCTCCTTAGAGGGACTCTTCTCACTCCAAGATTAAACATTTTCCTATTTTAAAAAATTTAAAAAATTAAAAATTAAAAAAAAATTTGGCTGTGCCATATGGCAGGCATGATCTTAGTTCCCTGACCAGGAATTGAACCCATGCCTTCTACAGTGGAAGTGCAGAAGTCTTAACCACTGGACCACCAGGGAAGTTCCCCGACTAGAAATTGAACCCATGCCCTCTACAATGGAAGTGCAGAATTTTAACCACTGGACTGCCAGGGAAGTCCCCAGACATTTTCCTGTTTGGGAACTGTACATGGACTAACTCGTTTAATCATGATAATAACTTTGAGGTAGGTACTACTGTTCTCTGTATTTTAGAGATGAGAACATTGAAGAATAATAAGGTAATTAATTCAGTCCTTCAAGGTCACACAGGAAGAAAGGGTGGGACTAAATTTTGATTTCAGACAGTAAAACTCCAAGGCCTCTATTCCTTTCCACTCTGCAATATTGCATCCTTGCCTGACAGGAAGAGGGAAATGCTCTCAAGTTAGGAAAGTAGACTGTCTACCTTCACGATTTAGAAATTCTTGAACTTACTGAAGTGACCCTTGGGACCATAAATTCAAATGACTGGATTACGAGAATATTCACAATAAACAAACAATGGTTAAAAAATAAATTCCTCATTTTTTCTTTGCTGAGTCTTCTTCCTGTTGGGGGGAGGAGGGGAATCCCTTCGAGGGTGGCCCCCCCACTTTTCCTCTGAGTGGCAGAACTTCCATCATTGGTCTCCTCCCCAGTCGTCATCGTGGTGACCTGTTTCCCCTCTCCCTCCAGGCTGGTGGTTGGAGCCCCCCAGGAGGTAAGGGCTGCTAATCAAACAGGCGGCCTCTACCAGTGTGACTACAGCATGGGCAGGTGTGAGGCCATCCCCCTGCAGGGTGAGTCATCGCTGCCCCTGGCCGGGACCCAGGGCTAGGATTCCACCCCTGCACACAGCTGGCCTTGTCAGGCCTTTGTCCTGGGGTCTGTGGTGGGGTGTTCGGGGGACAGCTCCTCGGCCTCTGAACTGCATGCAATCACTCTCAGACACCCGCCTCCTTGTCCCTTTCTATGACCTATGTGCCTCTTTGGATCTGTCAGACCTCCGAATCTCCCAGGTTGAGGTGACCCCGGTCCAGCTCTTGTTGTTTAGTCGCTGAGTCATGTCCAACTCTTGGAGACCCCATGGACTGTAGCCCGCCAGGCTCCTCTGTCCATGGAATTTCCCATTCAGGCATACTGGAGTGTGTTGCCATTTCGTCCTCCAGGGGATCTTCCTGACCCAGGAATCGAACCCCAGTCGCCTGCACTGGCAGGCAGACTCTTTACCGCTGGGCCGCCAGGGAAGCCCATCTAGCTCTTACAGAGTCCCTTCCATCCCCCAAGGCTGACCATGTGTATATCTGTCCTCTCAGTTCCCCCGGAGGCTGTGAACATGTCCCTGGGCTTGTCTCTTGCTTTTGCTGCCAACCCTTTCCAGCTGCTGGTGAGTTGCCTGGGGTTTTGAGGTGTTGGGTTGAAAGGACAGGGAACAGAGACAGCCCCTCCCACTGTTTCCCTGCCCCCTAGGCCTGTGGCCCCACAATGCACCAAATTTGCAAGGAGAACACCTATGCAAATGGCCTCTGCTTCTTGTTTGGATCCAATCTACGCCAGCAACCCAGGATGATCCCCGAGGCTCTCAGAGGTGGGTACAGAGGAGCAGTGTGAGACTGGAGGGCCCTGGGCAGGACTGGGCTGAGGGAACTCGTAGTCTGGGGGGTTATTTACAGATCTTGGTGCAGAAGGGTGAGGAAACTGGGTTCCAGTGTTTCTCTTCAGTTTTCACTCTTAAACATTCCAGGCTTTTCTTCTTTCTTTTTTAAGAAAATTATTTATTTTTGGTTGGGCTGGGTCTTCATTGCTGGTCGGGGGATTTTTTCTAGCTGCAGTGAGCGAGGGCTAGTCTCTAGTTGTGGGGCTCAGGCTTCTCATTCTAGTGGCTTCTCTTTCGGAGTATGGGCTCTAGCACGTGTGGGCTTAGCAGTTGTGGCATTTGGGCTCACTTGCCCCGCGGCATGTGGATACTTCCTGCCCCAGGGATCGAACCCGTGTCCCACTGGGAGATCGGATTCTTAACCACTGGACCACCAGGGAAGTCTGCAAATTATTTCTTATTCTTCTATGAGGTAGCTGTGATAACTCTACTTTCCCTGCCTTGAGCAGAATGAACTAATTTCAAGTTTCCCACACCACTTTGTCACATGTTTTTGTTTAGCTAGGCACATGGTTGTCGTCTTGTCTGCCTTTCATTCTCATTGCTCAGCAGACAGCTGATTTAAAAAAAAAAAAAAATGAGCCCGACTCTTTTGTACTTAGTTTCTTTTCCTTTTCCCCCAGGGTGCCCTCAGGAAGACAGTGACATTGCCTTTTTGATTGATGGCTCTGGTAGCATCCTCGCAGCAGACTTTGAGCGGATGAAGAAATTTGTCTCAACTGTGATGA